TCTGTTAGTCAGTTACTAAAAACACTTTATGGTCACTAAGCCACAGGGCAATAAAGCGCCGGTCGCTAGGAAACCACAGAATATTCTTAGCACAAAAAAGGGAATGAGAGGTTGAATGTCCTCAACGGTGAGAGAAAGAGAAAATCACATCTTATCTGGTTTAACCAGACACCATATCCAAAAGCCATCGCTGTTCTTTGTTCCCCAATCTGGAGTCAAGCCAACCATTGATAAGACAAAGGCGACCTCCAGACCTCTTATGCCTGTGCGCTTCATCAGTGTGTCATTAGGCCATATTTACGCACTTGATAGACGCCGTGTTCGGCTGTTAACTGAATATGTCAGACTGGGCCAATTTAACACGGCCTAAGTAAATAGAATCGGTTATATGATGACATAACAGATCCATTGTCAAATGACTGGACTCTTGCCATGTTTTGTCTTGACACATGTTAGCAGACATTGTGTTGAACATTAAAATTGGATGTTTAGTCAACCTTGAACTTTCAGAGCAAACATTTCTTGAATATAAAAGGTTAAAAAACATGCATATAGTAAGAGAGAAGTTCTGTTCTCATATGATAAGAAATATGTTGATATTAACCATGCTTGAAAACACATTGACTTTGAAATGTTATATGCATGTTTTATACTGATACTGGGCCAAAACGTACCTGGGAGGTTTTGCATGATTTGCTCTCACCGCAGGCCTGAATCGGTTTAAATTTTCCATTGTGAATGCACTTGCTTAGGAGGTGATCTGTTGATGTTTTTCTGTTGCAAAAGAACAAAAATGACTTAAGCTAGTATATGCAAAGATACGGTGACTCGAGGGACTCAAGTTTGCATATACAGTAGAACAAGAGTTTTAGTGCTGGGGGTGATTCTCTTAATTGCAGGATACAATGTCACTTCAAACTTAATCACTCACAATCATTGCAAATACTTATTATATTGGCCAGCAGCATGGTGAATACAGACTGTATAGTCTACACTGACTGACTGCTGTTTCAGGTCAATGAATCAGGTCAGTGGACTGATGAGTGAGTAATAAAACTCTACTTTACTGGTCTGACTAAACTTCCAATGCTTTATTCTCCTTCTTTTACCATTCAACTTTTAGAATACATTCAATATCTGATAGATGCCTTGACTTGAAAGGAATATTAAAGGGGTTCATCGTAACCATCTCTATCAACATCAAAGGCATGTTTTTGTTTACTACAGAAAAATAGTTGGTGCGTACATTTATTAAAGCAGAAAGTATTTAAACATTGATCATAATGTTTAAAATATGAAACTTTCACACTGTACAACCATAGCACTAAAACATTACATTTCTTAGTATGTACACTCTAAAACATTTTCATGCCATGAATTGAAAAACTGGATTCTATCACACTTTCTCATACACTCTAAAAAATGCTGGGTTGTTTCAACCCAATTTTGGGTCAAATATGAACTAACCCAACTGTTGGGTTAAAAAGCTAATTTAAAAATGTAACCAAAATTTAACCCAACAGTTGGGTTAGTCCGTATTTGACCCAACATTGGGTTGAAACAACCCAGCATTTTTTAGAGTGTATGAGAAAGTGTGATAGAATCCAGTTTTTCAATTCATGGCATGAAAATGTTTTCAATCATGGCAACTATCACATTAAATGTGAAAGTATTCCAGTAAGTAACATTACTATAATAACCCCACTGTACACTGTTAACTGAAACCAAGACCATAAAAACCAGTCAATTGTAATATATTTTAACTGTGTAAAAAATATATTTTATTTCAGCTAGTTGCCAGGGTAGTTCTTATTTTTATTTAGTTTGTTGATGTACTCAGATAACTAAAACTGGAGTAATTATATAGACATATTAAAACAAACTTATAAAAATGACAAAAACACACAACAAATTTACATTTAAAATGAAAAGAAAAAACACTATAATAATGTCTAATTTAATTCTAAAATAACCCTGGCTTACAGCACAAATTTACTTAAAACTTTTAAAGCTTAATTAAGAAAACAAAACCCACTAGCCAACAATCACCCATAGCATTTATAAACGTAATTTATAGCCTTCAAGACGTATAAATCTAAACCTTTGTGGTATTAGATATTACAGCTACTATGTCAGCAATGCTCCAGTGCCAATGAGATTCAGAAGTGCTAAAAACATTTACTAACGTTTCTGACAACACATGGCTTTAAAGGGATAGTTCACCCAAAACTTCTGTCATTAATTACTCACCCTCATGTCGTAAAAATGCTGTTCTGTGTCAGCTGCGTCATGCCAGATCTGTTTCCTACGTTGTTGTGATTTGATCTGAACGAAAACAGCGTATCTGTGTGACGCAGCTGACACAGAACAGCATACGCTGTTTACATCCAGCTGATATTCTCCAAAATGGCGCTACAGGGTGATGCGGAGGAGACGAATTGTTGAATAAAGTTGTTTTTTTTTTCTTTTGCGCACAAAAAGTATTCTCGTAGCTTCGTATAATTGCGGATGAACCACTGATGTCACATGGATTATTTTACCGATCTCCTTGCTACGTTTCTGGACTTGAACATGTCAGTTGCATTGCTGTCTATGCAGGGTCAGACAGCTTTCAGATTCCATCAAAAATATCTTAATTTGTGTTCCGAAGATGAACGAAGGTCTTACGGGTTTGAAACGACACGAGGGTGAGTAATTAATGACAGAATTTTCATTTTTGGGTGAACTAACCCTTTAATGCCACGACTTTTGAATTTTAAGCCAGTGCGCACAGTGTGTCAAAAGACCAAAAACTGTCCTGTAAAGATATTTGATCAACAGGAGAATAAAGTCCCACAACAGAAATGGGTACAGCCAAGTAAAAAATGCCTAGTAAACGTAATGCAAAACCTACTTTTTGATCAGTTTTATGAAGGACAGCTAAAGGACATGAGAGTGGTTCTTGATTTTTTTAAGAAATATCCAACAAAACCACAATACCATTTAAGCTTTATTGTGATATCTGAATAGTTTACAATACAGTGAAAACAGACAAATTAGACTTTTCTTTACTAGGACAGAATGCAAAGCAATGTAATCAAGTAAAAAGAAAAAAGCTTTTTTTGCATTGAAGAAAAATAAGAAAGAAAGAAAACCAGGCACGACTTAATATAGCCATTATAAATACAACATGCTTTAGACCTTATATTTTAACAGTCCTAAGAAAAGAACTCAGCAAACTTATACAATCGCTTCCTTTGCATACCACTGTTGCCTTAAACTAGATGTCGTTTGAATGACAAATCTCAGATTAACAGCTCTAGAAAGGTTTGAAACCAGTGTCACTAAAAGAAACTGCAGTAAACAATCTTTTCTACTGCCAATATCAGAAACACCTTAATATGTCGCTGTAAAAGTCAAATCACAATCCAAAAAGGCTAACAAAGTAATTTCCCACTTGGTATTCAGAGAGGCCACAAACTCGATTTTTGGTTTGAACAAGTGGTTCTCAGTAAAAAGGTTTCGGTTGAGCGATGTCTTATTTTTTGGTGCACACTGACAGTGACACTGGCCTGGATCTAGTTCTGTTTCTGAAAATCTTAGGGAAAGCTGTTTTTTTGTAAAACGGCCTGGGTCGGTGTTTCTATTGTGAAATTTCGGCAGGTGAATCCAGCTCACCATTGACCATGATGCTAAAACATGACCAGCACAGCAGACATTCTGCTATTAGGCTCTCCACAGGAAACTATCGAAAAAACAACTTCAATATTAAAGAAAAAACTAAAAATACAAAGCTCATTATCATCAAACTAAGAGAGCACATATCAAAACACGCTGTGAGACAGCAAAAGAAGTGTCTTAAAGGAAACAGCACAGAGGAACTAGTGAACAACAGCAAAAACGGCTACAAATAAAGTGAGGGAAGTAAGGGAACACGCATACATGCATCCAAACACACACTCTCTCTCTCTGTCTCTCTCGTCATTCACACACATATATAAAGCCAGCGGTACAGTGAACAAAAGTGCTTCAAGTCGGGGAAGTAGAGAAACTAACCCAGTAGAAATATGTATAAAACCTTAAATATGTTACTTTATGTACAAAACTGTGTGAGAGGGACAATGTATTGTCTGTAACTCTATATCATCTTTCAAGTAAGATATATCTACAACTATTTTGTTTGCATTGTCTTTGACTGATTCGAAGGTCATGTGACCGGACTGACCTTATCGGCGGCGAACGGTAAACGAGGGTTCGCCACTCATTCTACTATTGCCTGCCATGCACGACGAAACCTCAATATTCATCTGTACGATTCGATATATATGCATTTAATTATATTCGATAAAAATCTACATTAAATGCCCCTCTTTACCTCTACAGGAAGCAAGCTCCGCCCCCTCCCATTCTAACGGCCCCGCCCCCTTTTATATACTTTGCAGAATACAACCACTGTTTCATAACATCTCTAGCTTTGACATAGAACTATGAAAAAATACTGGATTATATTAAACTTTCAAGTGGATAGAGGTTCTGTGAGGTTCGTTTCCAAGTTCGTGTCGCTTTCGAGTTCGATACGAAGCTCCAGCAGAGCTTCTAATAGATGTGCTGGGTTCTCGGAGTCATGCGCCGCACAACACAGGAGAGGGAGATTTCTTTTCTTTTCTTTTTTTATCTTTTGAAGAGGCACAAGATTCATGCTGCTTAGAGGCAAAGATGTGGAGAAAAGCTACAAAAGGAACACATCCGCTCGCATGCTCTCAGACAGTCCGGGTAAAGTGCAGAAGGTTTTGAAGTGAAAGCTCCGGATTGCATTTATCTCTATTAGCAGCAAAAGAATCACGTAATGCCACATTGAATGGTGTCCGATTGTAAAATTCGAGACCTGCTTCTGACGCGCCAATCCAATTGGACGAATTACGAGCGTAGCCTGCGGAAGAAAGCGAAAGCAGCAGATTTCGTGTGTTTGAAAGTAGAGGGAGATGATCAAGCCAGCAACCACCCAACCCTGAAAATCATTCAAAAGGCACAAGATTCATGCTGCTTAGAGGCAAAGATGTGGAGAAAAGCTACAAAAGGAACACATCCGCTCGCATGCTCTCAGACAGTCCGGGTAAAGTGCAGAAGGTTTTGAAGTGAAAGCTCCGGATTGCATTTATCTCTATTAGCAGCAAAAGAATCACGTAACGCCACATTGAATGGTGTCTGATTGTAAAATTCGAGACCTGCTTCTGACGCGCCAATCCAATTGGACGAATTACGAGCGTAGCCTGCGGAAGAAAGCGAAAGCAGCAGATTTTGTGTGTTTGAAAGTAGAGGGAGATGATCAAGCCAGCAATCACCCAACCCTGAAAATCATTCAAAGCATCTAATACAATCATTTGATTATTTTCCATGAAAAAAAGGCCATAAAATGGACAGACTTTTGCCTCTAAACCCATGAACAAGGCCTCTGCAAAGTGCAAACAAAGTAACTGCATTCAAGTATGCCATAAACATAATGCGTAAAACACACTGAGCTAACATGCACGTGTGCATGTCCAAACATGTGGTTTAACACATAAATTACACATAGCAATGAACATACACATGATTGTAATATCAACAACAATAGTTTTGTAAAATCTTGTCATCATTTGGCGTGAAGGGGGATGAAAATGTAACGCAAACAATGTTCCGAGGACACTCGTTTCAGTTTTCCCCAATGTTCAGTGCATCCAAACGGCTGTCGCTTGTCTTGTTTCGTTTAGTTTTTTTTCTCTCGCCTATAGTACGGTTGCAAAAATGGAACCTGCCACGAATGCCAACTCAAAAGACGCGTGTTTGTGTAATCTCACCAAAAGCACCAGAGACAACTAAAGCTCCTGTAGGGGTCAGACGCTACTGCTGTACCAGAGTGTCCCACGAATTGCACAGTGAAGTCATCCGAGGAAGAAAAACATTTCGATTCGGAAATAAAACGGGTAAAACGCAGGGGAAATGCCATGCCACTGCAATGCTGAACGCCCACCCCCATCTGAAATATACTGCTACATAGCCTAACCCTGAAACCAACCCCAACTCTTATAACATATGTCAACGGTCGCTACCCCAAAGTGAAAGGAAAGACAATCAGAACGGGCTTGACGCAGAGGAGAAAAATGCTAACCAGTAACATCAGTCCACCAGGAAGGACTCGAGATTCCTGTCGAAAAAAAAAGAACGCACACTAAGACACACGCCTCCCGCTCAATCACAAAAAGATGTCAAATGAAAAAAGTGAGACTGTGTCTTCTGGATACTGTTAACAGCTTACACACGAGGAGTGCCGAGCACACCGAAACCATTTAACGGGGCAGTCGAACAGGAAGGGAGAAGGTTCGGATCCCAAAGTGTTGACATGTACATCTCGGAAAAAGGTCCTAGAGAGTCTTTCAGTGACCGTAGATGTCTTCGATTCGCTTTCCGTCACTCTGCCTTTGAGTTTTGTGATGACCCAGTAGATGTCAGGATGTGTCATGGTCGACGGTGGCATGTGTGTGTGCGCGCGTGTCTGTGCGTTTTTTGTTTGTGTACGTGTGCGTGTGGTGGTGTCACTCGGCAAAGTCCACGGCAGAGCAGCCCAAAGGTCACTGAGCGGAGAGGAAGCAGGTGAAGGTCACTCCCAGCCATTATCTTTGATCATGTGAGCCAGCTCGATGATGAACTTGCCTTCTTTGTATTTCTGACTGCTCTCAAATGCATGCTCCTGTAACAGAGACAAAAACCGACGAAACGTCAGGACTGAGAAACGTGCAGTTTTGACTACTGAGATAAATCAAACAATATTTCTGTCTACTTGAAGGGATTGTTCACCCAGAAATGAAAATCCTGTCATCATTTACTCACCCGAAACCCATAATACTTTGGTTAATCTTCAAAACACAAATGAACATTTTTAATGAAAGCTGAGAGGTTTCTACGCCTCCACTGAAAGTTCAGGTAACAAAAACTCCAAAAAAGATCAGAAGATCCAAAAACGGCATAAAAGCCTTTAAAAGAGTGGTTTAATCCAAAACTTGGGCTTTTAATTTGTTCTAGCACTTAACACACACACACACACAATCTTCTGTGTTTGCCATAAGCAATGCACTATATGTATGCGTTTGTCGATCATTGTTTAGATGCACATAAAAGCATACATTAAATCTGTTCATTATATAAGGTGATTGAATCCCATCACAAGATTTGGATTAAAACACTCAATTCATATGGATTTGTTTTATGATGCCTTTATGACCTTTTAGGATCTTTTAAATTTCAATGGAGGGACAAAAACCTCTCAGGTTTCATTAAAAAATATCTTAATTTGTGTTTCAAAGCTTAACCAAAGTCTTATGGGCTTGGAAAGACATGAAGGTGAGTAAACGATGACTAAATTTTCATTTTTGGGGGTGAACTGTCCCTTTAGCAATAATGAAAAACAGGATTTGCCTTTCTCTTAAAAGATTATGATATTGATATGCTTCCTCACCAGTGCACCCAGACCATGTATTGTTTATAAGTTAAACTACAAAAATAGAAACTGCAATGTTTATATCATAACTGATACATATACTATCATATGACATATGCCACATTTACATATGGCTTGGCAGCCATCTCCTTTTTCTAGTATGGCTGCACAATTTTGGGGAGAAAAATAGAATAGCAATTTTTCTGAACTGATGACTATAAAATGTGACTATAAAATAATAAATTATTATTATTATTTACTGCTGCAATACTGTTGCTGGAACTACATTGATACAAAGATCTTAGCCAATCATAACAGAGGCCTTTAAGGTACAGTAGCCAAAACAGCCTGTTTAAAAAGGTCAGAAAGAGGGAAGAACATGTTTGGTCCAAGAAAGGGGAAATAAAATGCTATAAAAATGCAGAACAGGAGCCTTTTAATGTATTCTGGACAGGATAAGACTCCCCTGTTACATGATATAACATGCTAAAATTATAGCTATTGCTTTAGTATGGTCAGCTTAACTAAAGTCTTTTTGACTGCTTTAGGCTGTCTGAATCTCCTCTCACACCTGTCCATTACTCATCTGACTTAAATCGGCACACTAGAGCAGTGGTGTGTGGTGTGTGGTGTGTGTAAACCCTACACTGCCAGCTTTGACTCAGTTGGCTTGAAATAAGAGCTGTTCCTGAGAGTTTCTCATCAGATGATGGTGAAAAGAGCTTCGAGAAACTGGTCTGTGATCAGTGTTTCAGAGTGGCTTGAATCTAAAGGCTTTGTAATCAAACACGTGGAGACCTGAAGATGTTTAACAAGATTGAGTCACGAGTGTAAAACCCTCTTAACCAATCCTGAGACATGATAAGAGCTCTGGTTTAATCAGGAAGAGAAACAACCACACAATACCTCAATACCTGCCATCTACATAAACACATAAAAACAATGCGACAGAACTTTCCTTTTATGATTAGCTTTAGGTGAAATAATTATTAGATTACAAAAGCTTTGAGTAATACATTAACACAATACTACTGCTTTCCAAAGCAGAGATACATTAAACTTAGCTATTTTGTCCTCATTAACATGTAATTAGATAAATAAATTTGGATAGGTTGGAATATATGGCAAACATATTTAGCATTTTTATACTGAATAGCTCATCACTGATCCAAATGAACTTAAATCAATATTAAACAATATATATTTTTCTTATGCACAGAAATGCTGTATTTATTTGATCAAAAATACATTATATATTAATACATATATTGTGAAATGATATATTTTAAAGTAACAGAATATATTTTAAAATGTAATTTATTTTTGTGATGGCAAATCTGAATTTTCAGCAGCCATTATTCCAGGCTTCAGTCAGTGTCACATAATCCATATCCATAATCCAGTTTCACATAATAGATACAGAAATATTTTGCAAAATTATAAATGTCTTTACTGTCATCTTTTAATTAATGCAATGCATGCTTGCTGAATAAAAGTATGAATTTCTTTAAAAAATATATTTATTTATTGTCCATTTCGATATTTTCATGTTTGATGAAATGTATTCAAATATTAATAAAACGTCATTTCAAATGTTAAATTCACATTACAGATCTGTTCAGCATTATATTATGAGATGTGTGCTTGTTTTAATGACTTATTAATGAAAGTTATTATAAAATGTTATCAAAACTGATCTATTATTCAGTGTCTGCTGTTTGCGTATGAAAACACAACAGCATGAACACTTATAGCATCGAAGTGGGTCCTAATTGAGCGGTGAATAAAGACATACATAGATCTAAATGTGTGCTGGACTGCAGTGAGAGGTCAGAGGATGTTAATTCTGGTCACTAGAGACCAGCAAAGTAACAGGATATCAGTAGACAAAAATAAAGAAACCCACACAGCTCAGATTAGCCAACTGCTGTCACTGCAACTGCAGAACAAGCATGTATAAGCAAAGTGCGACACCTCGAAACAAAACGCAGCTTGTCTTGTGATGCAAGGAAAAGCGTTTCAAATAATAGTCTATAATTGGCATGGAATGGAAGGAGAGTTAACTTACGTATTTCCAGCCCAGAGTGGTTTTACAATTTTCACAGTAGATGTCCGCCACAGCGTGTAAACCTGTTAGGAGAACCCTCTCCTCTGCTGGACCACAACCGACATTCACACTGAGGGAAAAGAGGTTAATCAATGGTCAAAATGATTATTCATGTGACCCATGTGTTTTCTGAAAGTCATTGTGGGTAACCTTTACTGGTTGACCACTAAGGAGGTCAGAAGCAGAACTACAGCAGATGTGATTGCTATCACTGGAAACACTGTGTCTACACTGGAAGTGACCAGCGGCCATGTAGCATCACAGCTACGACTAGAATAGCTTTAAAATTACATTTAATTTTCAACCGAAATCAACTTGACATAAAAACAGACTATGCATAGGCTATTTTAGATGCCGTTGGTAAAATTATATACACACGTAAGAATGGTTTTACAAATGATTTACACAAATTTGTTCTGCTCATCTTTAATGAGGCTCAAATGTTAGTAATCCTACAAATTAGTAGCAAAGCAAAATATTATTTAAATTAGCTGATGGGGACCAGATGCATTGCATAATGAGCTGGCTTTGATATAATGGTCAAAATTAGCGGAATGCATACTGAATAAAAATCATAATCTCACAATTTACACTATCGTTCCAAAGTTTGGGGTTGGTAAGATTTTTTTGTTTTTGACTCTTATATGCTCACAAAGGCTGCATTTATTTGATAAATGTAGTAAGAACTGTGATATTGTGAAATATTATTAACAATTAAAATAACTGTTTTCTATTGCAATATATATTAAAATGTCATTTATTCCTGTGATGCAAAGCTGAATTTTTCCGCATCTATTCCTAGAGTCTTCAGAGTGTCACATTATCCTTCAGAAATCATTCTGATTTGTGCTCAAGAAACATTTCTTATTATTGTCAATGTTGAAAACCGCTTAATATTTTTGTGCAAATAATGATATTTTCTCTGGATTCTTTGATGAATGGAAAGTTCAAAAGAACAGCATTTATTTAAAATTAAAATCGTTATATTATAAATGTCTATACTGTCACTTTTGATCAATTTAATGCATCCTTGCTGAATAAAAGTATTAATTTCTTTTTAAAAATTGTACTGACCCCAAACTTTTGAACGCTGGCATATGATATTTGTAAATAATGTTTTCCATTGGTAATGTGAAGTGATCTAATTTAACTCATTTTGCATTAACACATTCTTTCATAAGTCTGTATAGATCAGTATTGTATAATATTTCAAGAGAAACTTAACTCTTAATGGAAGAATCCTTCTTGAGTTTATGTTTTTATATCTTTGCAATGGCAATGCTTAATGCTCATGCACTACTGTGCATTGCCTGAGGAATGTCACAGTTCGCTAGCACAAACACATTTAACCTAGACTTTATCATCGTAATATCTCGCACACACCGGAGCGCTAGCTTAAACACACTGGTAGCGCTATGCTTAAATATGATGAATCATCAACTCGCATCATTAGATAGCAGTGCTATGTTTAGGCCTACAGCTCTTGTAATATGCAAAACAGCTATTCCCATTCCTCTATGAGCCTCTGATAGAGATATTAGGGATAATGTGCAGTCACCCGGTCATTATGACAAAATAAACTCCTTCAGGGTGATATATGACCCATCTGCCTTGGAATCTGTCTGGGATTATTTTGCATAAACGACCAGGTACATAACCCATTTTATAAAAATACCATTCAAAAGTTTGGGGGGCCTCTGATAGAGATATTAGGGATAATGTGCAGTCACCCGGTCATTATGACAAAATAAACTCCTTCAGGGAGATGACCCATCTGCCTTGGAATCTGTCTGGGATTATTTTGCATAAACGACCAGGTACATAACCCATTTTATAAAAATACCATTCAAAAGTTTGGGGACGATAAGATTTTTTAATGTTTTGAAAGAAGTCTCTTCTGCTCACCAAGGCTGCATTTACTTGATCAAAAATACAGTAAAAACAGTCATATTACAAAATATTATTGCTGTTTAAAATAACTGTTTTCAATTGTAATATATTTTCAAATGTAATTTATTCCTGTGATGCAAAGCTGAATTTTCAGCATCATTACTCCAGTTTTCAGTGTCAAATGATCCTTCAGAAATCCTTCTAATATGCTGATTTGCTGCTCAAGAAACATTTCTTGAGCAGCTTAATATTTCTGTGGAAACCGCATCATTACTCCAGTTTTCAGTGTCAAATGATCCTTCAGAAATCCTTCTAATATGCTGATTTGCTGCTTAATATTTCTGTGGAAACCATGATAAATTTTTTTTGATGATCAAAAGTTCAAAAGAACAGCATTTATTTGAAATAGAAAGCTTTTGCAATATTATAAATATCTTTATTGCCACTATTAATCTTTTTTTAATTAATTTAATTAATTAATTAATTTTAATTAATGCATCCTTGCTGAATAAAATAATAATTTCTTAAAAAGACAGACCCAAAACCTCTGAACAATAATAGTGTATCATTTTAATTCACAACATGGAAAATGCTATAAATTATTGATGTGAATGAGATATATACTTACACTGAATTGAAGAGGTAGGCTCGCCCCTGGCTGCCTTGGAATGACTAGAGAGAGAAAAAGATAAATATAATGTTATATATGAATGATAACTTTACAATCAAAGTTCTCCCACACTCACAGATACATCAGACATGGTTTTCCATGAAAGAGGCATTAAAAGTGTGTGTGTGTGGGTGTTGTGGTCCTCTCTGTATGTTTGTCTATGTATGTGTGAGTATGTATGTAGAAAGTCTGTCTGAAACACACTGTGTTCTGACAGCCAAGCTCTGGTCACAGGCCAACATGTGTATTTCATAAATGAGTCTCTGCATGTGTGTGTGTGTGTGTGGGTGGGTGTTGTGGTCCTCTCTGTATGTTTGTCTATGTGTGTATGTGTGAGTATGTATGTAGAAAGTCTGTCTGAAACGCACTGTGTTCTGACAGCCAAGCTCTGGTCACAGGCCAACATGTATATTTCATAAATGAGTCTCTGCATATGTGCGTGCAAGTATGAAACAGTGTTTCTCTTTAGAAAATGTGTGTATGTGGGTTTATGAGACTCTACATAATAAGCTCCACACATTGAGCTGACTAGTGGAGAGTGAAGGAACAGAGGTGCTTTTATTCCTCTTCATAAAAATGGAGATAAAGCTGAACGCTGACAGGAGACACTTCTGTTGGGTTCCCATTCAGAGTTTAACGGGATTGTTCACCTAAAATTAAAACTCTGTCATCATTTACTCATGTTGATCCAAACCTATATGGCTTGCTTTCTTCTGCAGAACACACATATATATATATATATATATGCATTAACTTTAATTAGTTATGAAAAAATAACGCGATTAAAATATTTTTACCCAGTTAATGCACTGGCCCCGCCCCCAGACCTGTATGTCATCTTACATTTCATACTGACTGTTGACAAATATGATGCACGGCAACAACTCCATTGTGCCCTAAAATTCAAGATATTGGCGCAAAATGGCCGCGGCGGCCATTGTAAGTCCGTAAGACCGCAAGTGCACATGAAGTGTTCCTTTTGGGACAGGGTCAGAGAGAGCCGTTTACTGAATTCCTGAATGAATCAGCCGTTTGAATGAATCGATTCATAAAGACATTTACCGCCACCTGCTGGTAGTTTTTGTTTCTTCTTTAGAGTATCATTTACTCACTCTTATGTTGTTTCAAACCTGAATGACTCACTTTCTTTTGCACAACATAAAAGAAGGTATTTTGAATAGCCTACTGTTGGTAACTAAGCTGTTTTGGTCACTAGTGACTTTCATTGCATGACCAAAAAATAATGAGACGTTTCTCAAATTATCTTCTTTTATGTTCCATACTTTATGTTAGGCCATTGTAGCCTAAATATTTAACATGATAATAGCTTTAAATTAGCTTTTGGGGGTATTTTCACAGCCAAACTAATTTGCGATTAATTAGATTAATTAATCGCAGCACCCTGTAATTAATTAGATAAATGTAATCGACTGACAGCCCTAATATATGTATATATATATATATATATATATATATATATATATATATATATATATATGAAGAGTTCAGATGCAAAAGCCTCTAAGTAACGTCTGAATTTTTCCTTCTAAAATGAGCATTTTTCGAACCTATTCATTGCCATTAAAGTGAAATTACTGAACCCACAGCTAATTTTAGAAGAAAATTTAAAATGGCACTTTTGCATCTGAACTCTTCATATATAAACTCTTCATATATAAATAGATAGATAGATAGATAGATTGATAGATAGATATTACATTAATTAAAAAACATAAGTAACATAAGTTCCATAAAAGTCATTCATAAAACTCAAAGTCTTAGATTTGAGAACAAAGCAAAATTTAAACAATATTCAATGAAATCCCTCAAATCTGATGCAGACCTCCTTGGCATGATGACAGAAGTAGTCGTGCAATTTGTGAACAAATCTCTTGTTTGAATCAGATCTTTTCAGTGAATCAGTTCATTCAGTTTATAAATCCATGATTTGTTCATAAATCAGAATGATTCAGTTCAAATGACTCCATGATAAGGTTTCAGGTTAACAGTTTTCTGGAAAGGACTGACAGTGAATACAGACTTAAATTTCAGTTTGTTCCTCAAAAAAAAAAAAAACATACGACAGTGAAACTGCTTGGAAAAAATGACCAACACGCCACTGATAATGACTTTATGTTCCACAGAAGAAAGAAAAGTCTAGAAAGTTTGGAATAACATGATTGTGAGTAAATGATGACAGAACTAATCCCAAAAGTGTATTTCCAATCCTAAATGTCAGTTGTTTTTTTAAGCTGTCTGCATCCCTCTTTTACTCTGTCAGTATCTCTGGTTCCGTAATCTCTAACTGGCTACTTTCTCCTCCCTACTCTATCTCACCGCTGGTGGTTTTAAAAGCATTAACCTGTTTAGCCTCTACCACACCCTATTAACACAGATAATAGAGTTTAGTCCAAACAACCTGGACTAGCAACTGTTATGAGGACAAATACTTCAGTCACATACCCAAACAGCACTGCAAAAGCAACAATCAACAGCATATACAACAAGACACTACATACTGAAGAGACAATATATATATATATATATATATATTGAGAGAGAGAGAGAGAGAGAGAGAGAGAACATGTGCAGTGCTTTTCAGATTAGGACAGCTTTCTGGGAAAACTTAAACACAATCTCACCAACGCAGTTAATTATAAATGAATATTTAAACTATGCACATCTAGGATTTTTCTACAAGTGCAATGCATGCTTGCTGTTGGTGTAAGTGGCTGGATTTAGGCCAGTGTGCTCCTGGTAACCAGCTGTCATCCTCGGTCGCAAGAGCTGGGACGGGGCGAATCGGCTTTACTTTTCCACTGCCGATGACCCGAGTATAGCTACAAGCCTAATAAAGACTGTTAAAGCCCACAGCGGCTGTCTGCACTCTGCTAAGAGGAGTGTCTTACCAGCTCGAGCTGAAAGCAAACGGGTAATTTTATAGGGACCCTGACACAATGAAAGGCCCCCCAACTGTGTCGTTTTACATTGTGGGACAAGTAAATCTGGCTCTAGCTACAATGGTGGTGTGTGCATAATGAACATGGGAATGAGAGGAGGGGTGAAAGCAGTGCATTTAATTACAGATCTGCCTCCATTATTATGTTATAATTACAAACGCCGTGCATGACAGTCGTCGGAAACATTCAGTGCAAATAAGCAAAGAGACACATTAGTGTCACAAAATGTTTTTATGCAAGCTTCCGATTCAACTGGACATTTAGTAAGAAGATACTAAATACAAGTTACTTTTTTTTCAGCAGAAATTCCCTCACATTGTTCCAAGTTAAGGTTTTTGACATGGCTTGAGGATATCTTGGTAAGTGTTGCTTGGTTTTCAACTACTGTAACCATAACAGCAGGCCACACAGAAGGGATCCCTGGGATTCAACAACTCGCTCATATTTGCCAGAGGATACATTTCTCTTTTAAAAAGATTAATGAACACTTTACCATTTTTCCGCATGACAAGGGCCAAGGCTATTTAGGTTAACCTGCAGATGCAATGAAGTGTAGGTCAATTATTTAAATTGGCGGTTTGGACTGTGTGGCCTAATGCATACAGTAAATGTTGCATGCAAACTAAAGGGTGAATACTCTTCCTACAAACCTGAAATAGCATTTCAAAACTTTCTACCAAATGCATGCACTTGCACTGGAATTGGTGGCCTGTTACATAAACTGCTTAGACTAGTCATCTCATTTTTTTCTTTAAGACTGGTCATTAAAGAAGTCAGTTACATAAAAACTAGTTAATTAGTCAAATTTGAATCCAAAAAGTAAGTACTGCTATCTGATCGAACTAGTTGTTAAGTTGACTCAAGAATGCACTTTAGCTGAATTTAACGGTCATGATTTCAATCTCTCATTTTAAAAATGTCTTTGGCATAATCAACTGTCAGATGTGACAGTCAGACTGTGACTGCCTTTGGTTGAAGTAGTTGCAAGGTTGCCTTGTTCAACCAATGATGCATACATTTTAATTAGTAATCACAAAGGTCACACAGACTACTAATAACATACACTTCAAAAGTCTGAGGTCAGTAAGGTTTGATTTTATTCAGCAAGGATGCATTATTTAAGGAATAGATTACATTTTAAAATATTTATTAAAACAGTTATTTAAATATTTTTTCACAATATTATTGCAAAATAAATGCAGCCTTGGTGAGCATAAAAGACTTCTTTCAAAAAAAATCTTTAAAAAAAAAAAAAAATCTTCCAAACGCAAAACTCGTTGGTGTATGTAAATGAAAAGTGAAATGCATTCTGGCATATGTGCAAGTTATTTGTGCATGCTTAAAATTATATACTTTATTGAAACTATGCATTGAAACTACACAAAGTGTTACTGCACTCCAATCAATGTAGATTTGGAGCATGCAGCATTGCTTTATCGTTTCATATGCCAGTCAGAAGATTTATGGCATCAATTCACTGATTCATGATCATGTCATAAACTTTGAACAGCATCATCCACACACTTCAAAGGATATTCAGTCCATAACAGAAACATCAAAGAACAGACGTCTCTCAGGTCTTTATGCAAAATGTCTGAGATTCTTCCAGCAGCCATCACAGACTGATTTTGATTGCAAGCCTAAAACTTTCCACCTGGCTTGAAAACAAAACCACCCATTCTTCCCTGCCTCTTTTGCCTGTCTTCATTTATCTATTGGCTAAAGACTTACTCAGCACTTACTGGCTGACTTTCCTCCCTCTCTCACTGGTCTTAACTCTTCTGCAAATGTAACCTGAGATTACTGTTGTTAAAACAGAACAAGTGGGTCATTTACTGTTCCTATCAAAGGCACCTGGCTCTGAGACAAACTGCAGTCAATGCCGGGTTTGTTCTAATTCTTTTCAATCATTACCTGATTGTGGGGAGCAGTTAAGAGGCACATCTGATAGAAGAGGTTTGGTAACCCACTTTAACTACTGAGGAGGAGAAATAGGGAGTTTAATAGAAAAGGGATCAGAACCGGCAAACCCATCAACAAAC